AACACATTAATGCATCAATAATTATGATAAAATCATTAAAAAAACTAAATACATGGTGTTTTGTTTCTGCATAGTGAGTCATTTTACTTTTGGTACTTAGGTACTTGAATGCAGGACTTTGACTTGAGTTTTTTTTTAGACTGTGTTATTGCTATTCTTACTTAAGTCAATAATCTGAGTAATTATTCCACCTCTGCACAGTGGTCAGTCATGTAACTTGAACATGTCATATAATAATAAGGATTTCAAACACTGGTTTAATTTCCACAGAAGGTTTCTCATTCTTTTAACCCTCCTATTGTCTTCGTTTTCCCCCCCTTACTTTGGTGTTCGCGTTCAAATTTGACCGATGACCTGTTTTAACTGCTATTACATTAACACAAAAACCATTAATCATCACCACATTTCATTTAACATCCTTTCAAACTGTACATATTGTATCAGACTACTGGTATACATGAACAACTGCAGTAAATATACAAAGAACCGACACTGAACATGTATTGTGTGTGCCAGGTGTGATTAAGAGGGGGAAATGTGTCAAATTGTTCTGTGTGTTTGTGTGTGTTTGTGAGGACCAGGTGTGATTCACATAAGGGGGGATTGGGCACATAAGGGGGGGAACACATCTAGAGTGTGTGCGTGCGTGCGTGTGTGTGTGTGTGTGTGTTTTATCTGATCCGGATGGTTACTAATTCCTTTTCTTTATGGCGGTAATGTTTGACCGGGAACACCATGGGTGTTACAAAGTTGACTAAATCATCCAAAATGCAATGAAAGTGGTGATCAGCAATTGCATATATGTTCAAATGTCTACTGTGAAGGATATCATAAAGCCTTAATGCAATTGATATCATAAAGCCTTAATGCAAAAGTTATGATTGATGAAAGTCGTAAATCGGTCAGATTTGACCCGAAGACAACAGGAGGGTTGAAGAAATTCTTCATTAAAAACATTTATTTTATCTGTCCGTTAAAATAGTTGGAGATCCTTTCCCTGCAGCTGTAGATGGTCTCTTAGTCCATGCCCGCCCTCCCTGCTCTGGTGCTTCAGAGAAACGAGTCCATGGTCTGAATGACGTGAGTCCGACAGAGCGTGGGGTCAGGAGGTCAGCGCATCATATTTGACATGTTCGACAGTTTCCGGTTAATTGCAGTATAGCGTTTGTTTAGTCCTGGGTGTCCTATTCTTAAACGTGTGACGACCTCCTCCCCCCTTGGGCTCCTGCTTCATCTGCCACCTACCACGTGTTTATGAATGCTGGAAAGATGTGGACCTGTGTCACTGAGTTCCCAGTGTTCTTGCCAAGTTGTGTGTTTATAATCTTTTACAATAGTTTTAACCTTCGCTATATTTAATAGTGTCTCTTTGTTAATTGGTGGTGGCCAAACAAAAAGTGAAATACAGTCACCTAATGTATCTGAATTTGATGACATTCAGAAATACCACATTTACCAATGAAAATCATAAAGAATATAAAAGATTTTAATTTGCCTTTCTTCACAATCTTTACGTTTTTCTCATAAATACTAAAAATGTTGGTTTATTTAAATATAATTAAGTAATACATTTTGTCATTTACTCGTCCTACCATTATTATACCAATTATTATATTGTGATACATCTTTAATATGTAATAATATAATCTTTTTTAAATAATAATAAGCATAAATGAAAGAAAAGCGGTTAAAAAGGTTTTATAATAATGATGTAAGGGAAGTGATACTGAGTTCTGGCCCCGACCACACTCTCTGTGCTCTATCACGTCCGCAGATAAGATACAAATGCTGTCGCTCGTTGAAAACTTCATTCGTTTCTTGTAGACTTAACCAAAAATGAGTGGACGAGGAAAAGGAGGAAAGGGACTCGGCAAAGGAGGCGCTAAGCGCCACCGCAAAGTGCTCCGTGATAACATCCAGGGCATCACCAAGCCCGCCATCCGCCGTCTGGCTCGCCGCGGCGGAGTGAAGCGTATCTCCGGTCTGATCTACGAGGAGACCCGCGGTGTGCTGAAGGTGTTCCTGGAGAACGTGATCCGTGATGCCGTCACCTACACCGAGCACGCCAAGCGGAAGACGGTGACCGCCATGGATGTGGTGTACGCTCTGAAGAGGCAGGGCCGCACCCTGTACGGCTTCGGGGGATAAGCAGCTGGCAGACCCACCAACCAAAGGCTCTTTTAAGAGCCACCCACATTACATGAAGACTTTCCTTTACTATGTGTCATATAATGAAACAACAATTTATCTAAAACCGGACACTAACCTACAAAGAAGATGAACAGACTTGCTTTTATACATTATTTTATTGCTGATAATCATTCCACCAGTGTTTATGTAGTGGGTGATATGAATGCTGACATGTCAGACCTTGTTTGCTAAGCATATGCTACAGTTCTGTGATGACGATCTTATTTTATCAAGCCAAATACTTTGGCCTACAGATAGCTATATAAAGTGATGCAAATTAGTCGCTTTTCGGCGCCTCCTGCTTTTTCAACGCTGCTTTGGGTGACTTGTGTAATTAGTGGAGAACCGAAGATTTTTCGATTGGGGGGGGTGGGGTCCGTTAGTCCGTCCGACTGACGGTCAACTTCTCACTTCAAAAAAGAAGAAGAAATCTAGATCGCAAAATAATTAAACAAGCGAGTGCCTGTTTTTCCTGGCCAAGGACAGGTTCCTTGAACACAACACGAGCGTAACGCGTCTTCACGTGGTTATGTCTCGTCTGAAAGGAATGTAGACTAGAGTGCTTACGGAGAGCACCGGAACGCTGCTCCAGCTCTTCAAATATTGCAGTACCCATAAAGAGCCGTACACATGCCGCAGTGTTTGCGAGGCTGTGTCTTTAGTTGTAAGCACAGTGGCGATCTGTTATTAGCATCTGGTTAGCTAGCTATGCTAACGAATTTAAAGAGCTTTTCTACAACCAGGTGGAAGAGAGCTCTCTCCTGAGAGGCTCAAATAACCTCAGCTCAGTGAGGTTAAGGCACACCTTGATATGATCATTATAATTATTAATGAGACATTAGAGACTAAATGAAAAACAGGTATAAAATACTATATGACAGTAACAAAAAAGTTGTTAAAAATAAGTGATTTGTAAAATATCCAAAAAGAAAAATCTGCTTCCAGTTCTGTTTCAAATGGGTGTTGAAAGATGTA